GACATTTCAGACTATTTTACTTCTAGTGGTCTTCATCAGGGACACAGATAATAGATTTTCTGTATTGAAAAATAATTGTTACAATTCATTGTTTTCTGTGAGTTGCTTTTTAAATAATTTTTTTTATCTTTTTTTAATTCATGTCAACCATTCATGATGGGTTTTAATTTCCTACTTTGAGGTTAAATGAGGATAATCCTACGTTAGTAAGTAGCAGAGTTGGGATTCTTTTTAGGTCAGGGTGACCTCAAAGCCAGTCCTTAACTACCAAACTATATTGTTGCTATTTCTTTTGACAACTTGTAAATTTGGGCCCAGGATCCCTAGCTCAGGCTGGAGCCTGGATCCCTACCTTAGGAAGGGAACAAAGTCAGGCTCTTATAGACTACTGTCATCAGCTCCTTCTGGCAGGGGATATAGGATCTGCCCAAATGCAGTCAGGCTCTGAGCCAAGCTGCACAGATGCACACAGTGCTCTCAGCCAGGCTGGGAAATGCTCCAGATGAACTGCCAGACTTTAGTGTCTGAAACCCTGAGAGATAAGGAGGAAACTAGGGTAGCACCCTCTAAGACAAAACAATTTTGCAGGTTTGGAATGTGCTGAAATCCGGGCAAAGAAAAAAAAAAAGAAAAGGTAATGATATACAGGAACAGGGGGCATATGTGAGAATCAATGGTCTCTCTGTTGCATTTCTTGCTTGTAAACTGATTAACTGCATTCCTTTCTCTCCTTTTCTTACCAAACTGGATTTTGAGGTCTGAGACTCATAAAGTCACCAAACTTGGATCCAAAGCTCCTGTCACTTTCTATCATCCACGTTCCAAGTCTTACAGATACCCTGACCTCTCTCATGCTTCTATTTAGTCCATTTTTTTCTACAGATATTTATTAAGTGTTAATTTTATGCCAGATACATAAGGATTCATGGGGAAAAAGGAACTTATAAGGAAGAAAGACATTAAAGATGATTGTACGCTGGGTGCTGGTGATTCACTCCTGTAATCCTTGCTACTCAGGAGGTTAAGATCTGAGGATCACAGTTCAAAGCCAGCCTAGGCAGAAAAGTCTGTGAGACTCCAATTAACCACCAGGAAACCTGAGCTAAAGCCCCATAACACTCTCTCTCTCTCTTTCTTTCTCTCTCTCTCTCTCATACACACACACAAATATAACTGCACAAATAACTAGGATTATAATATTGCTAAGAAGGAAAAGTAGTATTGAATGAGAATGTTTGCCTGATTTCTTAACACTTCTTAAAACTATAACAAAACATCTGAGACTTTTGTTGTTATTGTTGTTTGAGTGTTTTTTGTTTTTGTTTTTTGGTGCTAGTACTGGGGCTTGAACTCAGAGCCTGAGTGCTGTCCCTTAGCTTTTTCATTCAAAGTTGCTGCTCCACCACTTGAGCCACAGCTCCACTTCTGCCTTTTTGGTGGTTAATTGGAGATGAGTCTCATGAACTTTTCATGGCTTCAAACCACAATCCTCAGATTTCATCCTCCAGAGTAGCTAGGATTACAGGTATGAGCCATTAGCACCAGCTCAGCAGACACTATTTTATGAAAGGAATGATGAAGTGGATAACTGAAAAGAGGTGATTTAAATATGACCCTTCAAACTAGATCTGTCCCCAAAGTGCTATAGTTTGAATGTTTGTGTCTCTTCCAAAGTTCATATAGAAATATGTCTCTTTTTCTTAGCCTTATCTCTTATTCCTCTCCTATAGAAACCTCTCATCTGAACTTGGTGCAGTTTCTTCCCATACTCTCTACTATTTATCCATTCTCTACATTTTTTTTTTTTGCCAGACCTGGCCTTGAACTCAGGGCCTTGTCCCTATGCTTCTTTTGCTCAAGGCTAGCACTCTACAACTTGAGCAACAGAGCCACTTCTGGCTTTTTCTGTTTATGTGGTACTGAGGAATTGAACCCAAGGCTTCATGCATGCTAGGCAAGCACTCTACCACTAAGCCACATGCCCAGCCCTCTCTTCATTGTCTACCCATCCATATCAGCCTAGGAAATGAGTCTTCTGAACTCAAGGTACTTAATGAACACATGATAAATGAAAATTCATTATAGCTGAGGTACTTGGTACTGGAAACAGGGCAAGTCCAATGAGGAAAAAAAATGCTGGATGCCAGAAGTCAGAACATCTTCAACCACCTCTGATGGTCACACCTGTTTCTAAAATAGGCTGTGTTCCATGATGATTTTGACAGAGTGTCCCTTGTCCCCTGCTGTATCCCTAGTTGCACCCGGTATAAAATATTATACTGCCTGTAACATAAGAAGTGCACAATTAATTTCTTTCAGTATGAAGATGAATAAAAAAATTGGCCGATGCTGTTCTCACACTATATCCAATGGAAGTTAACAAGCATGGGTGTCTAGAATCCTTAAAAGAAGAACCTTAGGGGAAAGGGCTGACTTGTGTGTGTACACTTTACTGCAGTTTTACAAAGGGACTTCACAGAAGTTATTGCTCCCCTTTCTTATCACAATCCCATGAGTTATCTTCCCCATTTTATAGGTAAGGAAACTTCCTTCTTTCTCATCCTCCTTCCCTGCCCCACACCCTCTCCCTTTCTCTATGCATTTCTCCACAGTACTCCAAAGAGATTTAGGAGGACTAGTTGAAGGTTGGGGGGTGGAGGTGCTTGGGGTGGGGGGTGGCACAAAGTAGAGTGGCAAGAGAGAAGTCTTGAGTTCAAGCCTTAGAATGACACCCCCCAAAAAAATCCCCAATTGTCCAGTCTAACATCAAGGTTAACTGACTACTGGTTTCAGGTTTCAGATACATTCTTTTTTTTTTTTTGGGGGGGTGGGGAGGGAGTTTGAACTTGGGACCTGGGCATTGTTCTGTTCCTGAGCTCTTTTGCTCAAGGCTAGTGCTCTACCACTTTTGTGTGTGGTTAATTGGAGATAAGAATCTCACAGACTCGGGCTGGATCTTAGCCTCCTGTGTAGCTAGGATTATAGAGATGAGCCTGTAGTCTGGGGGGTTTAATCACAGGTCTAAGACTGTAATCACACATGAATGCACGTGTGAGAGCATTTTTTTTGGGGGGGGGGGGTCCCCGGTCGTGGGGCCTGAACTCTGGGCCTGGGTGCTGACCCTCAGCTCTTCAGCTCAAGGCTAGCGCTCTACCACTTGAGCCACAGCGCCACTTCCGGCTTTTTTCTTTTTATGTGGCGCTGAGGAATCGAACCCAGGGCCTCAGGCATGCAAGACAAGCGCTCTACCACTGAGCCACCTTCCCAGCCCAGTGAGAGCATTTTTTAAGATGCAAATATTTTAAAATATAGTGATTTTTGTACCATACTTAATGTTATTTTTTCTTTATGAAATTTATTTTTATCTTTAAATGATTGCACCAATGGATTTCAGCCCCCTCCTCCCCCCTTCTTGGTGCTGAGGCTTGAACTCGGACAGGGAGTGGAGTCTTTGGCTCAAAGCTAGCCTAGCACTCTACTACTTGGGCCACAGCACCACCACTTCTGCCTTTTTCTGGGTGGTTTATTGGAGATAAAGTTTCATGGACTTTCCTGCTCAGGCTGGCTTCACCATGATCCTCAGATCTCAGCCTCCTGAGTAGCTAGGATTACCGGCAGGGTCACCAGCACCTGGCTCAATTCATTTTTCTATTACAGATACTGGAAGTCGTGTAACTGGCAAGAGGCCCAGTAAGTTTTCCCATTTGACTTGACCAAAGTCTGACCCAAGTCAGAAATAGAACCCAGCTTGTCTTCAGGGCCAAAGGCACTGGACCATTCTACCTCAAATTGATTCCAGAATGGTCTATTATAGGGTTTAATTAAGTTCATGGTGTTTTGAGTCAGAAGTGTGTTCCCTTCAAAGTTCCAGCATGTACTTTGCGACCTTGGCTCAGCTTCCTCACTTGAAACCCGGAGGATATAATAGTACCTACCGCAGAGCTGCTGTTAGTATTAAATGAAAATGCGCTCGGGGGCTCAGTACAAGCCTGGCTTGTAATGGTAGCTATTATAAGAACTGTATTTGAATGATTGACTCTGGCATATAACGCCTGCATTCAGCTCGAACACTGTGCTGTCATAGTCCGGGGTGGGTGGGGGTTTGTAACACACGCCAATCTTTTTCTAGAAATAAATCATTGTGGGAAGATAATGACCAGCTGGAAGGAGTCAGTCCTGACGAAACAAAGATGTGGTCTCCAGTCTAAGGGCAAGGAAGCGAGGTCTCCCGGCGGGCTGCAGCCCCCGATCGAAAGGAGCCCTGGGCTGATCGGCAGCCTGGAGGGCAAGTCTCGCCCAGGGAGAAGCCGCGTCAAGAGCCGTTTTTCAGAAGACTGCGATCGGAGCCCGACTCACTGCGTAAGTCTCATTTCACAAGGACCACACCCCGCGCGCCCTGCGGGGAGGGAGGAGGACACGGAAGCCGCAGAGCAGAGGCTTCCGCGCGGTCCCTGACCTGACCATCTATGGTCACAAAGCGCACTGAGCAAACAGGAAATGGGGCGAGAGTGGAGCGCTTTCTCCACCTTTCCAGCCCAGGGCCCTGCGGGCCGGGCACGCCCACACGCTCCGGGAGGGGCCCACGGCGCGCGCTCGGCGCCCGGCCTCCAGCGTCCAGCCCCCGGGAGTCCTCTCACCGTGCGGCCACCCCCTACCGCCCTCCACCTTGCAGGCGGGGCAACCGAAGAGTGCAAGCCTGAGGGGAGGCGGAGCTTGCCTCGAGGGGGCCTTTCCGCCCTCAGAGACTCCCGCCCGCCACCAAGCCTTACCCAGACCCTTTCAGTGAACATGAACTGGCCTTTGCAGGAATCAAACTGACAGGAGCATCAGCCACTTATCTGTCCGCTTTCCAGGAGGAGGCGGAGCTTAGCCGGTGATTCCGGCTCCTCTTTGCAGCTGGCCTCAGGGGGCGATTTCGGTTGGGTACTGCCCGTCGAGGGGCGGGACCTGCTAGTGGACAAGCCCCTCTGGGGAGCGCTCTCGCCTAGGAGGTAGATCCCTTTCCCTTGTGACCTTTGAGCCAGCCTCGAGTCTCCTAGGTGTGGGGAGTAGGGGTGGAGTCAGGATCTCAGCGGCCTTTCTCCCAGAGTCTGAGTCTAGCCAGCCTTTTCAATCCCGCGGCTCATTTCCGGTGTGGGGGGCGGGGGAGTTACCGCGCCCAGGGAGGGCCCGGAAGTGGGTCGCGCGGAGATTGCTGGGCGGTTCTTACCGGAAGTGGAGAGCCGCTGATCGCTGAACCGAGGTGAGGCACAACTCTTAAGGTGAGGGTGTGCGGCGACCCCAGGGTCGCCTCTGGGTCCCACGGGCTCCTGGCACTGATCTTGGCCTTCTTGGCCTACTTGCGTGTGGTGTGCTCTGCGTGGGGAGGGGGTCCGGGTTGGGGCCCTTAGACTGACCCAGACTCCTGGGTGCGGTCTCTTGAGGTGGGGCCGGGGTGATCAGTGGTCCTGGGAGGCTCTGGGCTCGATTTCACTTCCCTGCCCATCAGCTGTAGTGGAGGCCTGATTTCTGCAGTGCCCTGACGGAAAGAAACCTCGGAGACCTTTAGAGTCTGAGCTGCTCTCGGTCTCGCTCCCATTGCACGGATGGGTAAATTGTTCGGGAAGAGGATAACCTGGGAGGAAAAGAATGGCCATTATTGTCCCGTCCCAGTTCTGCAAATGACTATCCCAGATACTTCCTTCGCTCGTTTCCTTGCAGCCTCTTTAACTTGGGGGGTAATTTTCTGGCCAGACAGCTTAGGTTAAAGGCACTCTGTTTGCTCGAACGTTCAACTGCTTGGAACACCTAGAGAGTTGGGTTTTTGTTGTTGTTGTTTTTTGAGTGAAGCAGGCAAGTCCAGGTATTCAGGTTGCCTCCTCTTGTTTCTAGTCTACTGCTTTTATTCTGAAAAACCAAGGTAACTTTATTGGCGATGTTGTCTATATCTGGACCTGAAATCACATGGCTCAAGTTAGGACCGGCCCTGTTGGTATCTGACAATGGTCATTTATTTAATTTTTTTAATGCCTCATTTTGGTCATCTTTTAAGTGAACTCTGCTCTCACCTCACAGAGTGAAATCCAGTGGGTAACCGAGTTTATTCTGTGCCACATTCTGGCAGAATCAGGAAATGCGGCTTGGAAACAAAACAAACTCATGGAGTTAGCAGTGTTTGCAGAGACTTTGAAGAAGTAATTATATAGGCTAAGGGCTAGTGGTAGAGTGCTTGTCAAGCATATGCAAGACCCTGGGTTCAATTCGGAGTACTACCAAAAAAAAAAAAAGTTTAACTGAGATGAGTGTTAGGGAAGAAGAGGCTACTGTGACAGTATGTACAAGGGGTTTGGAAAAAATTTGAAGGATAAAGTAAGTGCGATGAAGAAGGAATGGGAAAATTATTTAGACAGTGAACATCAGAATTGTGCCATTTGTAGCTCTTCAATAGGAATTTCTAAATGCAAATCAGAGGTGGAGGGTGGACTAGCACACTTATCATTTCCCACACTTTTATTGGGCCTTAATATGTGTGAAACATTTATTAAAGGAGGCACTTAAGTCTTTTAAGAAAAGATTTGGCCGGGCGACGGTGGCTCAAGCCTGTAATCCTAGCTACTCAGGAGGCTGAGATATGAGGATTGCGGTTCAAAGCCAGCCTGGGAAGGAAAGTCGTGAGACTCTTAACTCCAATAAACCACTAGAAAACCGGAAGTGGCGCTGTGGCTCAAGTGGTAGAATGTTCGCCTTGAGCGCAGGGACAGGGCCCAACCCCAGAGTTCAAGCTCCACGACCAACAAAAAAAAGAAAGAAAGAAAGAAAAGATTTGTTCCCATGGAGTTTACAATATGGGAGAGAGCAGAGAATTAAAGTAGGGATGGCTTACAGTGTGTACTTGTGTGAATGCAAGCCTGAGAGCATTAGAGAAATACCTGATCCAGGCTTCCAGGCAGAAATGTGAAGTTAAGTCTTCCAATATTTATTTACCTACCAAATCTAGGAAAGGGATTCCCAGGATTAAATGTACAAGGTCATGGAGACTTAGACATGTGGAAGTCTATACAACTAGTAATCTGGAATTCCAGTAATGCTTGGAGAAGTGGTGAAAAGTGTCTGCTGTGGAGAGATTTAAAGAATACTAAGGACTTTGGGTTTTTACCCTGGAATCTATGGGACATGGAGGATTCTCAGTTCCCATAGTGAAAAATAAACCTGTGTTTGGAAGTTGGAAAGCTATTGCATAGTCATGGTGTGAACTAAGAGGATGTGTAAATAGCCAGGAGGAATTGTGTTTGAGTAATGCTAAGAAGATGCTATCCAGTGAGCCAGAAGCTGGAGGATCATGCCTATAATCCTAGCTACTCAGGAGGCTGAGATCTGAGGATCCAAATTCAAAGCCTGCCTGGACAAAGTCAGTGAGACTCATCTCCAATTAACCACCAGAAAACTGGAAGTGGAACTATAGCTCAAAATGGTAGAGCACTAGCCTTAAGCAAAAGAGCTCAGGGACAGTGTCCAGGCTCTGATTTCAAACCTCATGAAAATAAAAGATGGTTTCTAAGGAACTAAATACTGGTTATTTATGGGAATGAAGAAGTAAGCTTGGGTCGTTAGCTCAGTGATAGAGCGCTTGCTTGGTATACATAAGAAATTCCAGCACCCAAGAAAAACAATCTGCTTGTTTTGCTTAGGGAACTAAGTAGTACCATTCAGATAGGTAATAAGTAATATGAGGGAGATGACATTAGAAAATGGATTTTGGACATACTTTGAGGTGTTCTTAGAATATAGCAAAGATATCTAATAAGGTTTTGGCTAGAGAAAACACAGGAGATATGAAAGCAAGAAGGCCTGTATTGTTCAGTGAATTACTTACTGGAGCCTGAAGTTCGACAGAAACAGAATGGCTTTGCCGGGGTGGGGTGGGGTGGGGTGGGGTGTGTGTGTCTGTCTGTCTGTCTGTCTGTCTGTTTGGGGATCTTGGGGGTTTGAACTCAGGCCCTGGACACTGTCCTGAGATTTTTCTGCTCAAGGCTAGTACTCTACCACTTGAGCCACAACTCTGCTCCCAAGTGGTTAATTGGAGAAAAGAGTCTCAAACAGACTTTCTTGCCCAGACTGGCTTTGAGCCATGATCCTCAGATCTCAGCCTCCTGCGATTGGCTATTGAGTTTGCAAAATGTTTTGTTTTCATCCATAGAGGTCACCTTTTCTTTTCACCTGTTTTCTTGGTTATGTATACATTTGTTATAATTATTTTTGTGACCAGAGAGCAAGCACTCTACCACTGAGCCACTTTCCCAACCCTGCCTTTTTTTTTTTTGGTCTGTTGTGGTCAGCTGAAGGCGAGCACTCTACCATTTGAGCCACAGCACCACTTCTAGTTTTCTGGTGGTTAATTGGAGATGAGAGTTTCATGGATGGGGCTGGGAAGGTGGCTCAGTGGTAGAGTGCTTGCCTAGGTTCTATTCCTCAGCACCACATAAGCAGAAAAAGCCAGAAGTGGTGCTGTGGCTTAAGTGTTTAAATCGGTAACTTTGAGCTGAAGAGCTGAGAGACAGTGCCCAGGCCCAGAGTTCAGGCCCGACAACTGCCAAAAAAAAAAAGTGTTTCATGGACTTTCTTCCTCAGGCTGGCTTTGAACTGCAATCCTCAGATCTCAGCCTCCTGAGTAGCTAGGATTACCGGCGAGATGTGACTTCCAGGGCAGGGAAGGTGGCTCAGTAGTAGACTGCTTTCTTTGCATGCCTGAGGCTCTGGGTTCAATTCCTCAGCACCACATAAGCAGAAAAAGCCGGAAGTGGCGCTGTGGCTCAAGTGGTAGAATGCTAGCTTTCAGCTGAAGAGCTCAGGGACAACGCCCAACAGAGGCCCTACCACCAAAACAAAAAAAGTGACTTCCTCCTTTCTATTTTCTGTGAGGCTTTGAGTCCAGAATTTGTTTTGCTTAAAAAAGCAAATGCAACATGTCTTTGGAAGTTGAACCCTTGAGTAGAAATTTAATGCTGCCGTTTGAAATCTGAGGATTCTTAAATTGTATTTTACCTGGTATTAGTGATTATTCCTTTGAAATATCATTTTCTTTATTTACTACTACCTTGTCATCCATACCTAATACTTGGATTTCCATAACTAGGTGGATTTTTTTTTGGGAGGGGGTCAGTGGTGGGGCCTGGGCTCTCTCCTTCAGCTCTTCAGTTCAAGGCCAGCACTCTTCCACTTGAGCCATAGCACTACTTCCAGTTTTCTGAGTGGTTAATTGGAGATAAGAGTCTCACAGACTCGGGCTGGCTTTGAACCACGATCCTTAGATCTCAGCCTCCTGAGTAGCTAGGATTACCCGTGTGAGCCACTGGCACCTGGCAATTAGATGGATTTTTAGAAGTTCTTTAAAAAGAACCTTTTTGGGGGCTGGGAAGGTGGCTCAGTGGTAGAGTGCTTGCCTTACATGCATGAGGCCCTAGGTTCGATTCCTCAGCATCACATAAACAGAAAAAAACGAAGTGGGGCTGAGGCTCAAGTGGTAGAACACTAGCCTTCAGCTGAAGAGCTGAGGGACAATGCCCAAGCCCAGAGTTCAGGCCCCACGACCGACAAAAAAAAAAAAAAAAAGAACCTTTTTGGTTAGGTGGTACAGATGACTATCTAACTTAAAATAGTATTTTGTCCAACTCATTTGAACTTCTTTTATTTTCCTAATTAGAGCAGGGTTTTTCAATCTTGGTACACTTGTTATCCTGGGCCAGATAATTCTTCACTTTGGATTGTTCTGTGTGTTGTAGGATGTTTAGCAGCATCCCTAGCCTGTACTCATTCAGTGCTGGTAGCATCCTCACCTCAGTTGTAACTTCCTCAGTTGCGACAACTAAAAATGTCTTTAAGATATTGCCAGATGTTTCCCGGAGGACAAAATTGCCTCTTTGGAGAACCACTGGATTAGAAATATAGCTTTGTTGGGTGCCAGTGGCTCACACCTGTAATCCTAGCTATTCAGGAGGCTGAGATCCTCTGATCTCAGCCAGCCTGGACCCAAATCCCCATGAGACTCTTATCTCCAACTAACCACCAGAAAATCAAGTGTAGTGGTGTGGCTCAAATTGGTAGAACACTAGCCTTGAGCAAAAAGAGCTCAAGGATAGCACCCAGGCCTTCAGTTCTAGTCTCATGACAGATCAAAAAAATAAAAACAAAGAAATAGCTATATACTTCCCTAGCTAAGTTATCCGAAAACAGACTCCACAGACATACTTAGCACAGTGCATGTATAAGCACTCAGTTATCCTAC